CTCTCAAATAAAAAAAATAAAATAAAATAAAACATATACCATGTTGAGTTAGACTTGTGATCCAAACGTTTTTTCATAATTCTTTAAACAACTCACTTGAGCCTCACAGACATAAGCAGACACATCAGAGGCCAGCCCTTGTCCAGCCTTATAACCCACTAGTCTAGACTCCTGGCCTTTGCTTCTGCCCTTCTCCAACCTTATAACCCACTAGTCTAGACTCCTGGCCTTTGCTTCTGCCCTGCTCCCTATCTGGAATGTTCTTTCACCTGTTGAGTTTCTGCCCATCCTTGGAAGCCAGTGACAGGAAGGTGGTTGTTTCTTTGCTTCAGACACAGACCCAGGGGCTGCCTAGTCACCCTACCCTGGTGGAGTCAGTGGCCGACTGCTAGTTTGTGGAGCTCCTGCTACCCCCAGAAGCACCCCAAAGCCCCCAGAGCATGCACAATGTTTTATCTTGAGTGTCTGGCATCTCTACCCGCCTTAACCTATGGTTTGCCTGGTGGAAACGGGACCTGTGGGGAAATCCCCCAGGGCTGGCATCTGCCTCAGGTCCTCAGTAGTGGCCAGAAGTAGAGCCCTCTGTCTTGTGCCCATGCAAACACTATTGGATGCTTTACAGGGCTTTCCCAGATGAGAAAAAAATGAAAGAGAAGACCCAAGTGCTTGGATTCCCCAGCAGGCCTGTGTTCTTGGCATTGCCTGCCTGTCTCATCCCTCCTTGTGGTTTCTTTTTTTTTTAATTTTTTTTTTTTTTTAAGATTTTATTTATTTGCGAGAGAGAGAGAATGAGAGACAGAGAGCATGAGAGGGAGGAGGGTCAGAGGGAGAAGCAGACTCCCTGCTGAGCAGGGAGCCTGATGTGGGACTCGATCCCAGGACTCCAGGATCATGACCTGAGCCGAAGGCAGTTGCTTAACCAACTGAGCCACCCAGGCGCCCCTTCCTTGTGGTTTCTTCCTTTCTTTCTCTCTCTCTCTTTCTATATTTCTCTCTCTCTCTTTCTTGATTTTATTTATTGAGAGAGAGAGCACAAGCAGGGGAAGCAGCAGAGGGAGAGGGAAAAGTAGATTCCCCGCTGAGCAGGGAGCCAGATGCAGGGCTCGATCCCAGGACCCTGGGATCATGACCCGAGCCGAAGGCAGACACTTAACCAACTGAGCCACCCAGGTGCCCTCCTTGTGATTCCTAATTCAAGAACATGCGGCATAACGAGAACACAGGATTAGGAGTCAGTGGATCTATGTTTGATTTTGGCTTTGCCATACACTGCTGGTGTTGCTCAGCCTCTCCCAGCCTCCGTTTCAACAAAATAGAGATAATAAATACAACATCTGACCTCCAAGGGCTATTAGGATAAAATGAAGGTGCACAAAAATCACTTAGAACTCTGTTCCTTTGTTCCAGAAATTTATTTGAGTCTTCCTGGCCTAAAGAACGGAGAGAGAGAGCATCCTCAGAGGGTCACCTAAAGCCCCCAGCAGCTGTAGACTTGGTTTCTTCATTTGTACATTCATTTCTTCATTCGTTCCAGAGATACTTATTGAGCACCTACTCAGTGCCAGGTCCTGTGCTGGACATTGGGGTACCAGGATGACATAACTTGTCTGGCGCTAAACTTCTGGAAAGGGGACGCTCTTGACCTGGAGTCTGGAGGTGGCATGGCCATTTGGTGCTAACTGTCTGCAGACTCTTTGAGGAAACAGGTCCTCAGCTGTGGGGAGATAAAGCCTAGGGAGAACTGGATTATCATCCATACCCTTTGCAGACCCCCCATTCACCCAACCTGCCCTACTCTGTAAGGTGCTTCCAGATGCACAACATCACCTCCGGTTTCTTCTTGTTTCATAGACTGTGGGTGAGGCCAGTGGCCATTCTGCCTGGTGGGAGTATATATCCTAACACAACTCAAGCAGGAGGCCAATTAAGGCTCTGGAAGTGGGTATGGTGCTGGGAGGGGGTGAGCCTCAAATCTCTCCCTCCTCGGCCACTTTGTCTTTGTGATCTCACTCCTCTAAGTGTGGCTGAGCCTCTGCCTTGTGCCCGGCTGGGCAGTGTTGAGCCCCACAGAGCTGACCCAGAGATGGGCCTGAAGGATAGTCCCGCCCCCCGCCCCCAGGTAGAAGGGCTCAGGGCAGAGGATCAGCCATGGCCTGCCCCCCACCCACCCCCCATCTCTTCCACTTCAGACCCCCTTTCTCCAGCCCAACATAGCAGCCTTTGGGCTGGTGCCTGATGCAGGGAGGATGGGGAGCAAGGTGATGTGTGGCCTTCTGGCAGGGTGAAGCTCTAAGGAGTGTGCCCTTTTTTCTTGTCTTCCTCTTCTAAGGCAGAAGGGGATGAGCCACCCAAGTACTGAGGGGGACCTTGGAGGCAAGAAGGTGCTGGCGCTTCAGCTCCCCACCCTGTGCCTTCAATGTCGGTATTTGGGCATAAAAGGGAATGAAGGGCTGACACATGCTACAACATGGATGAACTTGGAAACATGCCGAGTGAAGGAAGCCAGACACAAAATGACAGTTTATTTATTGTTTATGTTTACTAATGAAAGGAAGATGTTACTCTTTTTTTTTTTCATTAAAATATAAGGGTGTTTTTCTTTTTCAAAAAATTTAAATTCCAATAGTTAACAGTGTTAGTTTCTTTTTGTTTTTTGTTTTTTTTTATTTGACAGAGAGAGATAGCGACAGCAGGAACACAAGCAGGGGAAGTGGGAGAGGGAGAAGCAGGCTTCCTGCCGAGCAGGGAGCCTGATATGGGACTCGATCTCGGGACTCCGGGATCATGACCTGAGCGGAAGGCAGACGCTTAACGACTGACCCCCCCAGGCGCCATTTTAGTTTCATGGGACAATTATTTTAGATTCTACTTACATGAAATACCTAAAACTGGCAGAGTCATAGAAACAGGAAGTAGATTAGAGGTTACCAGGGGCTGTGGGGAGGGGGAAATGGGAGCAGCTGCTTAATGGATATGGTTTCTGCTGTGGGCTGATAAAAGGGATCTGGAAACAGCGGTGATGGTTGCACAACATTGTGAATGTAATTAATGCCATGGAATTAGACACTTAAAATGGTTAAATGGCAAGTTTTACATTGTGTGTGTGTGTGGGTGTCCACAATACATTTTTTTCAAGATTTATTTGAGAGAGAGAGCAGGGGGGCGGGGCAGAGGGAGACCCTGAGATCATGACCTGGGCAGAAACCAAGAGTTGGACACCTAACCGAATGAGCCACCCGGGCGCCCCCACAATAAAATTTTTTTTAAACATTAAAAAAAGTCCACAAGGCCAAGCAAAATGCCTTGGGGTCAAATTCAGCCCCCACTCTGAAATC